TGCCCCAGTCCCAGTGTCTCCCCATGCCGCGGTGCCCCGTGTCTCCCCGTGCCCAGTGCCGGTGCCTCCCCACTCTGCGGTGCCCGATGTCTCCCTGTAGTGCCCATTCCTCCCTGTGCCACGGTCCTGGTGCCTCCCCGTGCCCGGTGTCTCCCCATGTCGCGGTGCCCGACATCTCCCCGTACTGCAGTGCCCAGTGCCTCCCTGAGCCGCGGTGCCCAGTGCCCGCTGCGCTACGGTGCCCGGTGCCAGTGTCTCCCCATGCCRCGGTGCCCAGTGTCCCCCCGTGCCCAGTGCCAGTGCCTCCCCACATTTCAGTGCCGGTTCCTCCCTGCTCTGCGGTGCCCGATGCCTCCCCRTGGTGCCCATTCCTCCCCGTGCCACGGTCCTGGTGCCTCCCCATGATGGTGGTCCCAGTTTCTCCCTGTGCCCGGTGCCAGTTCCTCCCCACACCACGGTGCCCAATGTCTCCCCATACCACAGTGCCCGGTTCCTCCCTGCACCATGGTGCCCAATGCCTCCCCGTGGTGCCCATTCCTCCCCATGCCCAGTTCTGGTGCCTCCCTGTGCCCAGTGTCTCCCCGTGCCCGGTGCCAGTGTCTCCCCGTGCCGTGGTGCCCGATGTCTCCCCGTATCCGAATGCCCGGTGCCTCCCCGTGCCCAGTGCCGGTGCCTCCCCGCGCCACGGTGCCCATTCCCAATGCCTCCCCGTGGTGCCCATTCCTCCCTGTGCCCAGTCCTGGTGCCTCCCTGCGCCTGGTGCCAGTGCCTCCCCACACCACGGTGCCCATTCCCGGTGCCTCCCCATGGTGCCCATTCCTCCCCATGCCCCGTGCCCCACACCACAGTGCCCAGTGTCTCCCGTATCCGAGTGCCCGGTGCCTCCCCGTGCCCGGCGCCCGCCGCGCTCACCCGCGCGCTCACAAACACGAAGTCCTTGCGCTGCGTCCTGTCCTTCTCCTTCTCGAAGACGATGCCCAGCTTGTTGGGCACCCGCTGCGACTTGATCAGCTGCCGGACTGATTGGGAGGCGCTCACGCAACCGAAACGCGCCTTTTTCCCCCCGAAACCGTGGCGGCAATGCCACGCCGCCSCTTGGCACCCGGCGGGTGCCCGCGCTCACTCTTGTCGTGCGGGAAGGTGCTCCAGTCCTCCTGGGAGTCGCGCTGCTTGCGGAGCACCACGAGCTTGGCACCCTCCACGTCGACGCTCAGCGAGAGCTTCTGCGACTTGCCCAGCTTGGCGAGGTCGCCCAGCGTCACGTCCAGCTTCACCTGCGGCCGGCATCGGGAATGCCGCCGGCATCGGGAATGGTGGCGGGCGTCGGGAGTGGTGCCGGGATGGGGAATGGGGTCAGGGGTGGAAATGGGGCCGGG